ACGATAATTTAGTATGAAATGTATCAAATATTTTCTACATACTAAATATTTGTTTACTGTATCTTCTCACGATAATTTAGTATGAAATGTATCAAATATTTTCTACATACTAAATATTTGTTTACTGTATCTTCTCACGATAATTTAGTATGAAATGTATCAAATATTTTCTACATACTAAATATTTGTTTACTGTATCTTCTCACGATAATTCAGTATGAAATGTATCAAATATTTTCTACATACTGTATGTGAAACTAAAGATAAGCAACGCTTTTCAACTAGTTTTAATTATATCTTTACTACGTTTAAAATACGCAGTTTTGTTGATAATTGTGTTTCCAAGATTTGTTTCCAAGATTTATTTCCAAGATTTCCACCAACTCCAACAATAAGCTATAAAAGAGATGCAAATACTGGTTTTTTTTTTTACCTTTCAAAGATCAAAATGGATCATGCTAATGCCGATGGTGTTGGACAACAATCATGCGCCGAGTTTATTAAAGACATTATTGAAGGCATCGATGTATTCACCCAAGAGGTAGAAATAATTCAACAAACGCCTTCACCTACAGACCAAATTCTCTATGGATCAGCTTTTAATCCAAATTGAAACTCAAAACAAAATACAATTATCGAATGAGCAGGCTCATCGATTTATCATCTATTGTCGGTAGTCATTCTATTTTTATTTGATAAGAACGATTCGAAATGATTATTACATAATAATTTAAAATAATATTAAGCTTAATTTTTACAACAGTCCATATTACAATTGTGATGATAGATTATTTTATCGTTATTTGCTTTATACAAAGTATGCATTCATGCGCACAAAATATCATCGTAGGAAACGTTGTGCAGAGAAACAAAAGTTTTTATAACTTGTAAGCTTATCAATAATATCTATAATTCATACTTATCGATAATTAAAAAGAATGTATATTAAAATTCATCCATAATATTCTTAATAAATTGACGAAAATGTTCCAATTAGAAAGATTTCTTTAGCAGCACAAAATTACAACTTTTTTTGGTAGCACAAATATACGTAAATTTATTCAATATATAAATAAGTATAATATTGTAAAATATAAACTGATTTATACACAAAATTAGGCAATTGGACTTTTAATTGTCAACGATCCATCACACTCGCTTATTAGATATTCTACAGGAAAATGTGATCCAAATCAATAAATGAATCAATAAATATGTGATTTCGATACTGCAAATTATCTTAAAATAGCTTAAAAAAATCATTTAGCTAAAAATATTCTAATAGATTATAAATTGCTTACTGGCAAGATTGCCTTTTTAATGAAACGTTTTTCTTTTTTATTATTTATTTACTTATTTAGTTATTTATTTATACAGCAGATATTTATGAATAAAATAAACTATGAAAAAAATAATAAAACAAATACATTTAATACGCAATCAATAACATAAGTTCCGTTTTTTACCAT